CCATGTTAACCTTATGATTTTTCATATTTAAAGGGAATTAAAGAATGTTATTAGCTGTTTCAATTAAACAAGTTGGTTCTGTTCTATGATGTTCAATAGCTTTAAAGTTACAAGGATGGCCAACAGGGTGCAGCACTATTATTATTTTTTTAAATTTATAACAACAGCTAATTTGCAACCAAAAGGTGAGTGAGCGTAGCGAACGAACTTCAACCTGGAGGCGAGTTAGCGTAGCGAACGAGCTAACCTGAAGGCAAGTGAGTGCAGCGAACGAGCTCCAACCTAAAGGTGAGTGAGCGTAGCGAACGCACTTCAACCAGGACGTGATTGAGCCATGCGAACGAGCTCATCTTGAAAATTAAGAAGTTAAACGGGGCAAAGCCCGCGGGTACAGCTAGTATATTTATATATTAAAAATCAAAAACATATTTAACAAAGTACCCTTTTAATAATTATTTTATTTTTATTAATTTTAAAATAAAATAATTACTAAAAGGGTACTTTGTTAAATATGTTTTTGATTTTTATTATATTAGTAGCCCTAAATATGCAAGAAAATAATATTTATATATATAATATGTATATATATATACCTGTCCGTTAGCGCGATAACTCGAGCAAAAATGATCCAATTTTGATGAAATTTGGTACAAACGTGTAAACCTACGTTTATTCGAACGAGTTCGCGAACCAGCATAATCGGACCATGGGAACGGGGGTTTATGGGGGGTTTTATGGGGTAAAAATGGGTTTTTCCCATTTTTGACCCAAAAAACATAAAATTTTGCAATTTCTACCCAAACTATTTTGTAGAGCTTAAAAAAACAAATAATTTAGTATCTTGAAGCGTTATAATGCACCTAATGGTTACGGAGAAAATTTCAAAAAATTGCAAATTTAAATTCCCATGTTATTCTTATGGAGAATAAGTAAACTGTTGTAGTTTGCTTGTTTATTAACATATTTTGCCCAAATTTGGAAAATGTTTTTATTTCTTACTAACTATTAACATTTTACATAAAAAAAAACACTTTTACCCTGTAGGAGACATTTTAGTGTAAATCCAATCAGGCAAATGGAAATTCGCTTAGTCTGCAAGTTTGCTGCGGCGGGGGTATTTACTATACCAATGTGCCTGTAGTGTAGTTCATTGAGAAGTTTTTTCTTGAGAGAATTTGGGATGATTACTTTCCACCCTTTGAAGAGGCATCCTTCATGTAATGTAACTTAATTATCGTGAAATCCCAATGGCTCTAATGATTGACCCTCCTCAAGAGCCTCCACAATTTGTTTTAGATATGCGTCCTTCTTAGTTTCTTCGGCCAGTTCTTTGGGATTGAAAGTTATTGTGTTCAATTGGTTTGTTTGAAAATGTCCAAACTGGTCAATACTTGTGAATTTTGAATCTTCCACGGGAAATCTTGAGAGGAAATCTGCATTGCCATGGTCACCAGTTCCCTTGAATTCAATTGTGTAGTTAAATCCTGATAAAAAATGGGAGTAGTTGAATAGTCGCGTAGCTGACATTGACGATAGGCTCTTGTTGGGATTGAAGATTGACACTAATGGTTTATGGTCCGTGTTGAGTGTAAAATGACGTCCGTAGCAATAAGAAAAAAATTTCTTCAACCACCAGTAAATATACCTGTGGCTTCTTTATCGATTTGGCTGTAATGTTTTTCAGCATTGGTCAATGATATTGAAGCAAAAGCTATAGGTTTTTCACTTCCATCTGGGAAACGATGTGATATCACTGCTCCAAGTCCCACTGGTGAAGCGTCAGTTGCAAGGATCAATGGCAGGTCTGGTTTAAAGTGACAAAGAACTCTGTCACTTGTTACTCTTTTCTTTATGTTTTGGAAACCTTCTTCACACTTACTGTCTCATATGAATGACTACCATAAACTTGTCATTACCGGCACTCTGGTTGTGTATCTTAAAAACCTCTTGTTTATCTTCCTTATGATAGTCTATAGTATTGTCAGTTTCGGTACAATGAATTTCTGTTTGTTTTGTGCCTAAACATACGCTAGCAATATGCCCTTGTTTGTAGCATTTCTTACATATTTCTCTGATAAATTTACACTGATGTGTCCTGTGTCTAGGTGGTCCACAAGGATAGCATTTACGATAGCATTTACCTTTGAGGCGTTCAAATGGAAACTTCAACTTTTTGTTCCAAAGTAGGAGAAAAATGGGGTGGTTTTGTTTCTTTACCTGTTATCTTGTTGATTTTCTCATTTGAATGAATGTTTTCTTCTACTAGGTACCTATATGGCTTTTGTTCTTTGCCAATTCCATGATGGAGGCAAGTTTCACTACATCTTGAAACGATTCAGCAGATCTTTCTTGTAATAATTTTGTTCTTATGTCTGAATTGCTAATACCTCTTATAAACTGTTTGCGTAGTAAGTTAATGTGTTTGCAATTGATTTCCCACAATTATTACAGTTGAAGTCACAGTCTGAAGATAACTTTTGAAGCTCAACGGAATATATTTTTACGGTTTCTTCAGATTCTTGTGTTCTTGTCATAAATTTGTGTTGTAAGGCCCAAGTACTAGGTTTAGGATCAACATAATCAGCCAAAAGACTTACTAATTCAGCATATGTTTTATCCAAAGGACTTTCAGGAGCGCACAAATCATGCAGCTTCTGATGTAAATGTGGCGTTAAGGCATGTAGCATTGTATACACTTGATCCTTTGGTTCCATTTCTTGGCTATGTAGATATAGAAATATCTCAAATCGACGAATGAAGTTCTTGAATGATTCATTTTCCTGATATGGTGGGAAATCATTGAAGAAGTAGTGGATCGACGTTGTAGAGGAGACAAATTTGATGTACTAGGCACAATATTTTGAATGTTCACTTGTAGTTCTGCAAGCTGTCCCATACGTTTTTGTAACTCATCCATTACCTTGTAATATTTGTCCTCCATTTCTACTCTGTAATCTATTTCTTTCTCGATTTCAACTTCTTCAGTTTTCTCTTCTATTAATTGTTGTACAGAATTAAATCTTTCCCAATACTCATTGTTGCTATCCTGGTTTTGATTACTTCTTTTGACATGTTTTGTAGGTTTGCTAGCCATCTTTCAGCCTTAGACAACTGACCCTTCACTACTACTCTAATCTTCTTTAAATCAGTCAAACTTTCAGTGTTATTTAGGTCAATCATATAAAAAAATAAATTTTAATAAATAGAATATAAAAAAATTGAAAACTGGTTTTCCTCGTCGCCAAACTGTTGCATATTAAATAAAAGATGTGTAAAATAAAATAGGTGTATTCTGAAATGAATCCTAAATAACAATGATTGTAAACAAAAACAAAGTTAACTTATTAAACATAACATATGGTATTTTTTTTAACATACAGTATGTTAGAAAATACACATCATGCGTGTTGTAGTTGCTTGAGCATATTTAATAGCTTAGAAACCTCAGAATTCATGGAAGATTATCGCTCTCATTTATGTTCGGGGGACATACGGACTAATACAAAAAGAAAAAATATTATATTAATTGAGATTATATTAAATCAATAGGTGTGGACAGCTAAAACGCATGCCTCATGGGGCGTGCATTTGTTAATGCATGTTAAATTGAATGTTAAATTTAAAGCTGAAAGGCACGTTGAAATTGAAAGCGCACAAGTGTGGATATAGCTATTGGTAATGTCTGCAGCTAAAGCATACCTCTCAAATTGTTTAATCCATGTACCCCAACGCTGTGCTACACATGCAGGATTTGTGTGTTGGTAAAAAAATATCAGGCTTATTGAGATCCATTATCCAATTATCCCTGTTGCCAGTTTAGTAAATCGAAACATAATTAATAAAACTGGATATTCATTCAACTTACAATTCAGATTAAGCTAAAAAAATAAACAGAAACATAGTATGAATAGTCATCTGACAGATGTTATAATAACACATATGACTTATTTATTTATACATAACAGGTACAAATCGAATTAAAGGGCTTTTCCCTATGTCAATTTAAATTTTTAGAAATTGAACTTGGGCCTTTTGGATTATTTGTCACTATGACATTATTTGCAAGATAACAATAATAACGTAAACAAAAGATTAACAACATTGCTAGCTAGTCAACGAATCATCTAAACTAGCACATTACAAATACAGAACAAAGGGGAAGAACAATCGGATTCGTTCCGTTGAGCATAATTTGCTTGAAAATGAATAACTAATTAGGGTCACCGGAATCATGCTAATGCATTAATGACTGTAGATGCTAGCCATTCCATTTATGCAAAGCAAATATACCATTAACTTTGGATACTGCAAGTAGACATTCCATTTACGTGAACCAGACGCACTATTGAATTTGGATACTGCAAATAGACATTTCATTTAGGTATGTGAACCAAAGATACCATTGATTTTAGATACTGTAAGGAAACATCTTATTTACGTTAACCAAATGTAGCATTGACTTTGGAAAAGTATTGGATTATATGCTAGCCTCGCTACACTAAATATTGCAAGCAGACAACTGCATCTGTGTACACCTAACACCTAGTATATTGATATATCCCACTCAAAGTGAGTGGAGGGCAATTTCCTTCACAGCCAATCTTCAACACCGGTGAGGTGTTTGGAAAAAATTAAGTTAAATCTTGCATAACTATAGATGTCACATATATGAAGTTTGAAGGATATAGTACAACAAGTAACCAACATTGAGACAGATCATTTAGTCAATAATTTATTGAGATTATATTTGAGGGGAAAGCCAAATGGCTGGTTTGGAACTTTTTTTAAATGTATAGGAGTTCAACCATACCTGAGAGAGAAAATTAGATTTCATGGGCTAATAGATATACAATAAAAGGTCACAAAACCTAACACTGATATTTCGTTCCAATCCAATAGAGAACGTCTTCAAAGAGTAGGTTAAAGTAAAATTGAACTCAGTTCCTTTTCAAAAAATTCTCAATAGTTTACCAATTAATTTGTAAATTACTTGTACATAGTAGAGGGGAGTCGCTGGCCGCAGTTTCTATGAATCAACACATGGATGTGACTGTTCCTGCAGCCTCCACCCCTCTCCTTCCCACCACCTCTGTCAACCGCAGCTGTCAAGTCACCCCCTTGCCTGAGTCTCCCCCTCCACCTTACAGCGAGAACCACATCACCACGCCAGCACACTCCTTGAGACCAGGTAACAGTCAGCAGTACATTTTAATGTCAGTTTTCGGTACCAGAGCTTTCCCTAGAAACAGAGGTAGGCCTATCAAGGACCATACCACTGGTCAGATGGATGGTAAGAAAAGTATAGTCTTTAAACAAAATTTGTGTGGCCTGAATTCCGCATCAAGTGCAACAACTGAAGTACTTAATAAGTACCTTCAAATGGTGATATATTTGATATTTTTCTATAAAACGAGTAAGGCATTAACACACTGTCATCCAGCAAACAATCTGCATCTTTGCAATTGGATGTTGTAAAATACTGAAGCGAAAGGTTAAATAGTAATAGAAGACATCCCATATATATGGATCAGCTGTCACCAATTTTTTACTAAAAAAGAATGTAGTTATGTGAGCCAGTCACAGATTGCGCTAGTGTCTAAAACTCTATTTTGTACCTTATTTTGTGTTACTGACATAGTTGCTGGGTCACAACAGTTGCTATAGCTCATAATAAGTCATTCCATCAGTTTGACTTGGTAAAAACCATCATGTAATTGGCTGAAATCATTAATTTAGATCAGCGAAATCTGTAGGCCAAATTTTATTAAAAACCTGGCTACAATTTTAACATGGGGATGGAATGTCTGAACAGTGAGTTTTGCAAAAAATCAATTTTGTGCCCACTAAACAAAGCTTACACCTACTATATTTTGAAATAAAATAACATACAGTAATACTTAAACAATTTTCTAATGAAGAAAGGGTTCTTTAATCTGGGTTTTCCTAGGCGCGAGAGCGGTTTGGGGAGAGCGGAGTCCACTCTCCTTTGGGCTTAGGTAATTTAATGGTAGGCCTATTGTTTTCCTAGAAGCGGAGCAGACCGCAGGGGTCGAGCAAAAACCGCTTCTCCGCTTTCGGTTTCCTAGTCGCTGAGGAGAGCAGAATAGTATACGTCAAAGTTACGTGGTACCAGTAATGATTTAGTCAGTAAATCAACCATGGTTTCCAATTACTGTAATTGTATCTGATTCTAGATGAAACTGTAGAAGTTTTGAACTGGGAAGAGCAAACTCTAAGAGCATTCTCCAACACTGGACACAGCAATGTTACGCCTTCCACGATACTGACCATTGAAGCTGAGCCCTCTCAGGCTCATGTGGATGAACACAGTCTTATAAGTATTGACTGTAACTTATATGAAAGTAACAACTATGACAACTCCATCCCTCCAACAATCAACAACTCAGTAAGTAGACAAGAAATTTAAAGCAGTGTTTTTGGAGCATTTTAAAAAGCCGTTGTTGCGTACTATAGGTGGGCTGCATAGAAAACAACCTTTTTAGCGCATGTAGGTGAGGTAAGGACGAGGAAGGGTATATGTTACACTTTATCAGTTACACTTGTCCGATTCAGTCCGGTCCGCCCCGAATTTGTGAGGGGTGGTGGGTTGCTACATTTGTACGATTCGTTTCGGTCCGGCCGGGAGAGTTGGCTACACTTGTACGATATTCTATATTGTGCGAGCTCTAGTTCCGACGAAGAAATCCTCCTCGTATGCCTACACGAAGAGATGTACATGTAATGTAAAGCATAAGATGATGATTACACTAAAAGTAGTTTTTTTAATCTCCCATCCATAGTGAAAGTCAAAAACATCTACCTTAAAAACAAAGTTTATACAAGCAGTTTCAACACAACCAGTATGGTTGTCGTTACTTTACAACTGCTATGGTGGAGTTAAACTGACCCAGTGATCTTTCTTATGTTTTTAATTTATTTAATGCTTAGGCCTATATCCTTAAAATAACTTTTTTTCATATAATATATCACTTTCCCAACTACCTTGGAAATGATTTCATAACAATGAATATGTTCATATTTTAAAATACATAATACAATCTATTTTGGTCAAGGCCGTTTTTCTCCAAAATTGCCTTTCCTTTGACATATATATTTAGCTGTGTAATTTTATTTAAAAAAAAAATACATGGTTAGCACGTTTTGCAGTTTGCAGTAGTTTTCATTTTACCTACTTTGCTCACGGAACCCCCTATCCTCATCCGAATTTCGGAAGTAGGTAGCTACACTTGTCCGATCCGCCCCGAATGCTTCCGCCAAAATGCGGAAGAATGCTCCCTGGAGGATTGTTCCCAACCGAATCGGTTCTGAGTGGAGCGGACAAGTGTAGCCGCCTCCATTTAAAAACATGGGAAACATTGTTCCGCATTTTTGAGGACTGGACCGAACCGGACCGAATCGGGCGAGTGTAGTCACTGCTTAAGAGGTTCCAAGTCTAAACATTGGCTTCCCAAAGGATTATTTTTAGTTTTTCAATAATAACCATGTTTTAAAACGTAATACAGAAATTTCTCAATTACCTGTTGTTGATTCCACTAATTTTACTAATAAAAGTTCACCACTTGGACGAATCATTGACATATTCCCGCGCTTGCACTTTATCTCCAACTTTGAAATTCCTTTTTATACCGACTTGGACTCCCTTCTTCTGATATTTGTTCGGTTCTAATGTTGGAACAATTATTGCAAGGTTTGTTCGTACACTCCTTCCAAACATTAGGTGGTATGCTGATGTACCAGTTGAATTCGGAGATTGCCTGAGTTGCATTAAGAGTCTTTGTATTTTATTTTGCAGTGTCCTTTTCTCCCTCCATGGATTTTGACGCCTTCTTGACAGTCTGTACGTATCTTTCAGCCTGGCCGTTTGAGTTTGGATGGTATGGTGCCGTTGTTCTGTGAATAATCCCACATTCATTCATGAAGATTTTGAACTCTTGAGAAACAAACTGTCTTCCATTATCTGAAACTAGATGTGAGGAAACCCAAAAGTTGAGAAGATTTTCCGTAATTCTAGGACTGTCCATGTACTTGTAGTTGTTTTTGTCTCTATCACCTCCACCCACTTACTAAAGGCATACACTAATATCAGGTACTGTTGGCCATCTGTTGGTCCTAAGAAACCAATGTGCACCCTCTCCCATGGATTAGAAGGCTGTTCCCATGGATAGATAGTTTTTCTCGGGTTGTTGCATTTTTCAATGCATTGTCGAAATTCAGCTACCATCTCTTCAATATCCTTGTCTATACATTTCCACCAGCAAAAACTGTGAGCTAAAGCCTTCATTTTTATTCCTCCTAAATGAGCTACGTGTAGTTCTGGAAGCACACGAGGTCTGAGAGATTGAGGTATCATGACTCTCCAGCCCTTCAGTACACAATCATCTTGAATGGACAGCTCGTTATCGTGAAATCCGTATTGTTCAACAGATTGTCCCGATTTTAAGGCCTGTATGACTGGACCCAAAACAGCATCGTTAAGAGTTTCCTTAGCCACCACGGTACTGTTGATATTGAGTGTTTCCAGTTGATTTATGTGGTACTTTGAGAGATCATCTACAGAATGTTCTTGAACAACTTTGATAGGGAAATGTGAAAGATAATCTGCATTGCAATGATGAGCGGTTTGCCTGTACTCAATGTCCTATGTCATGTCATAGTCAAACCCGGAGAGAAAGTGAGCATAGTTGAATATCCATGAATTCAATGAATGTATGTCAGCTGCATCAAGTTGAATCTCCCTCATCCATTCTCTTCCGAATATAGAGTCTACACACTTGTTACAGGCCGGACCATAGTTCTAGGCGTCTCGCTGACGCATGCGTAATAACGAATTTGCATTTAATCATATGTTAGCCCAAGTTTTGACAGATGGGGAATTAACACAGCAAATTAATGCGCATGCGTCCGCCAGACGCCTAGAACTTTGGTCCGGCCTGTAACAATGTACAGTTTTCCAACAAAACTTTGATCTTTATACTGAACATTTACAAAAACAACTCCTCTTGGATTGATTATTTCCCCAGTGTATGTCTTGAGTTGAACATTTGTCTTGAAAATCCTTTTTGGAGAGTTTAAAAGCCTAAATGTATCATATGATACAATGTTAAGAGCTGCTACTGTATCTAATTCCATTGTCATGAGTCGTCCTTCCACTTTTACCTCGAGCGTAAACTTGTCATTTGATTTTGAATTAAGTTGATAAATTTCATGAGTGTCATCGCTTGCATTTTCTGCGGTTTCATCAGATTGTTTTACTTCTTTGTTTGGTTTTCTTAGACATACTCTTACTAAGTGACCAAAAAGTTTACAAGAGTTGCATTCTGCATTTTTGAACTTACATTGATGTGCTCTATGTGAATCATCACCACATCTATAGCATTTGTTCCTCAGTTTCTCCAAACGAGATTGATACTCAGACAGTTGTTTACTTGACTTACTATCTGGTTGTTTGTTCTTGCTCGATACTTGGTGTACTTCCTCTTGATTTTCATTCGTCTTTAGTATTCTGCTCTCACTTTTAGCTAGTTCCAATGTAGCAGCCTTTTCGACTACTTCTTTAAACGGTTGTAATAGTTTATCTTGAAGAAGTTGAAGACGTATATCAGAGTCTTTTAGTCCCCTGACAAACTGCATTCGAAGTAGAATTTCAGACACGGATTCATTACAACTTGTACAAGTAAACTGACATTCTACACTGAGCTTTCTAAGAGCATTAGCATAAGCTTGTACAGATTCATTACATAATTGGATACGTGTCATAACTTTGTGCTGACGAGCCCAAATACTGGGTCTTGGTTCTAGTTGAGCTATTAACATGTGAATCAATTCCTCATATGGCTTGTTATGTGGGTCATCTGGTATGCAAAGATCATATAGCTGTTGATGTATTTGTGGGGTGATTGCCTGTACAAATAAATCCACTTTGACTTTTGGACTTCAGTTTCCCCGTAATTTTGTGTAGTTTTCAAAGCGTCGAGTGAAGTTTTGAAAACTTTCCTCTGGTGTATACGGCTGGAAAGGAATATTAGATACATTTTGAGATGTTGCAGATTAGACATTGCTGCATGTGTAATGTACTTTTTCTTTTCTGCTTCAAGGAATATTCGTATCTCTCTATATATTTCTTCTAACTGCCATCGAATTTCTAATTCACATTCTACTGAATCTGTGAGAAGTTCAATATTTGACTGCATAACTTCAATTTCAGTCCATATTGCTAAAAGTTTATCTGAGTAGTAAGTGCATGTATCTTGAGAATGTTCACATATAGGTAAATCACCCTTGAGTTTGTTTAAGCGTAGTTCTAGTAGTTTCCTTTCCTTTGGACATAGGTCAAATTCTTTTCTACTTACCATTTTACTCGTCGCCATTGTTGATTCCACTAATTTTACTAATAAAAGTTCACATTTTGTATAAGAAAATAGAAAGTTAGTATTTATTAAATCACAATCTGTAAGTAAACAAACAATTCAACAAGTAAACAAAATAATAATTTGAACCATGTTATAAATAAAATGTAAATAACACATATGTAACACCTGTAAAATAATATCAGTAAGTAATGTAATTTTCGTGTTCTACATTAAATTTTGAATAAGAATTATAGAAAACTATGGAGGATCAATAGTAAAAACTCCATTGTAAATGGATTCAAAGATAAAAATTAAGGTGTTTGATAAACATTTAAAAAACTTTGGTCAAAAATCCGACGGAAGTCTTCATCATTATACAAATACAGGTCAACACATATAGTTTATTAGTTAAAAACACAAATTACGAAACATTTAGGACGATAGGCCGGCCATATTTGATATTTAACACGGGATAAACCGACGCAGGTTACATGGCGGACACGACAGAACTCAATGTTTTTAGCGAATTTCCCTATAGGGAAGTAGCTATTAACGTAGGTCTCATGGTAAGACCTAGGCCCGGGACCGATTTACTTTTTCATTTTGATGTCCCCAGAGGCCAAAAACACCATTCGTTCAAATTTATATATATATATATATATATTTGTGTCCATCCGCACAATAACTTGAGTGATTTTTGTCCGATTTTGATAAAATTTGGTTTGAAGGTGTAAGGCAGGATAAACTTGAATGAGTTCGCGAACCAGCATGATCGGACTATGGGAATGGGGGTTTATGGGGGGTTTTATGGGGTAAAAAGAGGTTTTTCCCATTTTTGACCCTAAAAACACAAAATTTCACAATTTCTTTCTAAACCATTTTGTAGAGCTTAAAAAAACAATTAATTTAGTATATTGAAGCGTTATTATGCGCCTAATTGCTACGGATAAAATTCAAAAAAATTGTCATTTTAAAATTTCCATGTTATTCTTATGGAGAATAAGTCAACTGTTGTAGTTTGCTTGTTTATGAACATATTTTGATAAAATTTGGAAAATAAATTAATTTCTTACTAAACTACAGTACCTTTTAACATTTTACATTTTAAAAAACTTTTTTACCCTGCCTGTTGCAGCAAACCTAAGTACTCGTTAAACTAATTCTGTTTAAATAGGGAACAAATGTGATATTTTTAAGGAGACATTTTAGTGTAAATCCAATCAGGCAAATGGAAATTTGCTAAGTCTGCAGGTTTGCTGCGGCGGGGGTATTTAAATAATAAACTATATGTGTTGACCTGTATTTATATAGTGATGAAGACTTCCATCGGATTTTTGACCATCTTCTACACGATGTTTTAAAGGATTTGATAGTGGGTCTTTGTACCCGAAACTAGTCATCCATAGACTAAAACAAGACTGATGACGGACCAAGGTACGTAACCTATTATATATTCGAATATCAGTCTTGGTGGCAAAAATGTTTAAATTAGAAGGTGGGCAAATGTGATAAAAACTGTGCCATTTATAAGATTTTCAACCATATGCCTCACTATTGAGCTTTAATTAGGTCTGCTTATGTACGCTTTAGTGGTTTGAAGACTACAAAACATGATGTCTTTAACGTTTAAAACATAGAAGGTCATGATTAAAGCAAAACTTGTATTTTTGTTTCATTATGAATTAAAAAGTGTAAAAGAGTTCCCTGTTTTCTAATATTAAGAAAATCTATATCGTAGCTAGGAACACGGTTGACGGCGGCAAATATTTGAACGCCTTCAATCTGAGGGACTACTGGTGGATCAAACGAACTCACAACTCACATTACAGTATTGGATCAAACGACCCGGTCGAATGATCCAAACATTTCATAGTATCATTAACTATGAATCCTTAAGGATTCATAGTCAATGATAGTATTTTAAGTGTTCATAGTTTACAAAGTACAGTCTATTTTATAAGTTTACTCTACAATGCAAAATTGTACTTCTGGTTATTAGTGACTGTACTTTTGGATCAAACGGTTTTGGATCAAACGAACGGCTTTATAGCTGGTGGATGAAACGAGTTTGGATCAAACGATCGGTAATATAAACGGTGGATCAAACAATTTTGGATCATTTAAAGATGGTCCTACTGGTGTGAAGCAAGAAAAAAACTGTGCAGCAAAAGTAAAAAGGGTGCGGAAAAAGTAAGTAGATGTAGCAATAATTAGCAACTTTCTGTGCTATAATCAGTGCAAGAAAGAGCACTTTGTCAGGTGACTATAGGAAAAAATAATTGTGTTTTTCCTGATGTTTACATGGAGACCCATCAATATTTACTTTTGATAACCTCGCCCCAAAATTTTGGTCGCCTAAGCCAAGGGGCGTAGCCCGAGAGGAACTCAGGGATGTGAATATGCCTAAGAAATTCCTAGATATGTGGAACATCTTTGTGCTTAATTTTGGCTGTATCGGTTTTGTATTTTAGTCATGACAGCCAGCACCCAGATGACAGACAGACAGACACCACAATTGTACATTAGTATAGATAGATGTATGTGTAATCATATTTAAAGGGAATTAAAGAATTTAGTCAGCTGTTTCAACTAAAAAAGTTGGTCCAATGATATGCAAAAGCATTAAAAAGTTATAAGATTTACCAACATGGTGCAGGACTATTTTTTTTTTTTGCATTTATGAAAACAGCTAATTATGTTTGAACTAAGCAGCAACAAAAAACTGTGATACGCAATGAAAACAGTCAAAGCAGGATTGTTTACAGTTATGTTTTTTTTATTGCATGATTAATTTGTGATATTTTGCGAATTTTTAATAATTTATTTTTATCTATTGTTTTTCACGGTGCACGTAATTTTGGTGTCCTAACATCATTAAACGAATCGTCCACACCTATCCTTTATATCAATTTCACTGTGTCAAATTGCTAAATAAATTAGTGTAAACAAAGAAAAGTAAAAACAATAACAATAAAAACAATAAAAAAATTAATTAAAATTTAAAGACGTAAACAGATCACATAACCATACACTGACAGTGTCAGTACGACCACGTGGTGTCAGTGAAAAGAGGAGCGCAAGGTTCGTATATAGGAAAGGAGGTGTTGCCGATCGATAGCGCGGGGGGAGAGGCCGGCGCGTGCGAGTGCGGGCGTCTATAAAGCCGTTCTAGTGTGCGCGCCGGTGTTTCCGACCGTTTTACATCGCTTCAAAAGTACATACACCATGGCCTTATAATAAACGGATACATACAAATAATATGCTGAACGGTTAAAACATAAAAGCCCCTACATTTTAAGGTATTTTTCAAAATGATAAGTTAGGGATTTCCATGTAAAAATATCTTTCAATTGTGGGTAAAAAAAATGTTGTATTTAATTTTTGAAAATTATGTCAAGTTTTTTGTTGTACAGTATAAAATATATTTTTTAATAATTTTTGCATTTTCCGTTTTTGAGATTTGTGTGTACCTTTATGGCTAAAAATCCGACATTTGACCTTCAATTTTTCTAAAGGTCTAACTAAAAATATAACATCAAAATAAAAAAATAAATAAAATGCTCACATTATTAGAAGCACAGCCTTAAGTGGGGATTGGTAAATAAAAAAACTATAACATTTAAAGCACAATTTATTGGAGCACATCTTACCAGTTTAATGTTAAAGAAGCAGATTTTTTACCAAACTTCACAAAGTGGTTGGGTTTTCAGGATGGGTGAAATGTTTTTTTTTTTTTTTATCACAATTGTAACCAAATTAAGACTAGATTATAGCCAGGATCATTTATAAAAATGCCTAAAAGATCATTTGACAGTTTAAGAATCATCTTCACCTTTGCTTTGTGATCTAAGAGGGGTGAGAATGGGGTGTGCAAAGGATAGTGCAAGGTCAAAATCTGTGTCTTTTTAAAAACATTGTTGACACATATCCATACACACACACGCTCAAAAGTCTAAATAAAGTCTAATTCTCTTTGAATATTACTGGCAACCTCTGTACGTATTATCTTTTAAAATGATCCGTCAATTCAGTAGCCGGGTTTCTGAGCAAACAGCTTGCATTCACCTTTCAAATGCAGTGGAGGTTATTAAGAGTCTTCTTCACCTCTGCGAAAACAATAAAAACATGCCTTGAACGTCCCTCGCTCCGGGTGGAATGTGTGAAGATATAATGTTAAAACTTTTTTTCCATTACATATTAATGTTGGTTCTAGGGCCCTCATATATATCCAAGAAAATCAATGATATAAGTACAAAAAAATCTTAAAGTAACGTAAATTGAGTCACTTGTAGAAACTGATAAAACAAATTATTTTTTTTATTTTCAACCTTTTGAAGTGTAAGAGTTCTAATACAACTATTCAACTACATTGATACCAAATTTCAAGAAAAGCTGTTGAAAACGGCCTCCAAAATGGGGGACGAAATTTACATATTTTGTCGGAGGCTACTTCGCTACTAGCCTTTTACAAAACTTGGCTCAGGCGGCAGATAAATCACCGACGTGTCGATTTAGTAGTCGTGTGCTTAAAATGTTTTCAGAATGGCGCGCATAATGACCCAGCGCTACCCGCCCGTCCACAACACATTCCCCCAAGGTCATATCCCCAAAATGGAGGGTGTTGAAGACTCTTAAAGGGATTATTTAATCAACAAAACTTGTTAACTTGTAATTGCATTTATTTTTTATAAAATGAGTAATTTTCTAATAGCCTATTTTTTATTACTTGTGTTGTGATTGACAGAATGTTGCTGTAAGCACAATTGATGAGTCGTTGATTTTCAAGCGCCGTCTGCATCGTACACCTCGCAAAAGAAAAGGATTCTCTTTGGACATAGACACTCTGACGAGACTATACCCTGAGACGGAATGTTCCTGTGAAGGAGCCTGTAACTGTCATCGACCAGTCTCAGCGGACCCTCAGGTCTGGAGGCAAACTTAACTAGGCACTGTTACCTTTGAAAATATTATTTTAGCCACCCAAGTAGCACACATAGTTGGCCCAACGTTGGGAAATGGTCGGCACGGTTGGAAAATGGTTGGCAGAAATTTTAACGATTTGCCAACGTTGGCCCAACGGAAACTGGTATTCGTTGGCCATACAAAGGAAAGAATCGTTAGGCCATCGTTGGGCATTCGTTGGGTTTAAGTACAGTATAAAACATTCTAAAACAAATTTTAACAAATTGATTTATTTAAAAGTAAATAAATTTTATGGCAGCAGAATATAAGACAAATATTGTAAAAATTTGGATCAATAATGAATGTAGTCAGATGATGTTGTGATACTAGATACAGTATAATAATAATTATAATTAATTTTTTTTAAATATTCTTTAAGCAAGTTTTTAATGTTATAGAGAAAAGATTAATTAATTATATAACAATCAATTACAGTATAACAGTAGCCTGCTAATCTAATGTTAATTATATAATCTATATTCAAATACCAGTATCCTCTCCAACTACCAGAAAAATAATTCAACTACTTGAGGCCTAAACAGATTAACAGAATCATATTATACTCTAGCATCAAAAATATTTAAAGTATTAATTGTGACCATTGCACCTGTCGGCTACTCTTTGACCACTTGAAAACGCCCTTATTCAACAAGCACAGTTAGCTCAGAGGCAAGGCATGAGGCTCACATGTCGGAGGTACCGGTTTCGAGACCCGTCCCGGCCAAAAAAAATTTATTTCGTTTTATTTTGAAAATAAGTTTTTATTAACTATTTAATCAATTTACTCAACTCATAATTATGCTTTGCATACAAAATTGTTATTATTTTGTGTTTTTTATGTTTATGCCCAATGGGATGGTTGGCCCTTCCGCAAAAATTGGTTGGTTGGCCAACCGTAAGACTGAGTGCCAAAACATACCGTTGGCCAACGATCGACAGAAACGTTGGGCCAACGATTTGCCAACGATTTTTGCTACTTGGGCAATAGCATGACAGAAAACTTACCATCATATTCTTCTGAAAAGTGGTTGTGATTTAGTATTTTAAAATATTAACCAGTTTAATAAGTCCTCATGAATAAGGTACAACCAAAATGCCATTTATATGGTGTTTTCACCACACTATGATGTTACATATGTGTTTTACATACGTTAATTAGAGGCTGAAAGTTACGTTTTGCTGGCCATGCCGGCTGTCCTCGTCATTTGGGGACCGAGCAGGTTTTTGCCTCAAAGTCAGCTGCCCGCTTGCATATTAAATAAATACACGAACAGTATCCATAGCATTGCAATAATAGAATTGTTTCATTTTGGTATTTACTCAGGGGAGGTATAGATGATCTTACGATGACATCTGTGGGCTTCTCATTAGCTGAGGGAACACCATTACCGTAACAATACGGTTTGCAACCATCGGCCTCGGTGGTCTAGTGGTTAGCGTGCCGGGCTGATGTGCTGAGAGTCCCGGGTTCGAATCCCGCTAGTGGTACTAACTTTTTGACTAAGATTTTTTCATTATCAGCAAGTTTGGTTGGTTTGGTTCGGTTATGAAAGTTTAATTTTATCATTAAGTCATTATAAAATTTTAATTGACCAATAATTTCTAGTTTTATTTAATGAACAGAATTATTTTTTCTTAATAAACTTTTTCATATTATATTATTGTCAGCAAGTTTGGTTAGTTCGGTTAGGTTATGATAGTAATTTTTTAATAAAAAAAATTATAAAATTGAATTTTAGGCATTTATAATTTTAAACCTTCATTCCCAAAATGCTCTCTACTACAGCGCTGTTCACGGAGGAATTTTGAACTAAATTCCTCAATCGTACCTCCCCTAAGTCAGATCCTTTTATTTTCACCGTTGCCTAGCAACTGTTTATTATTATTTTTGCTGATTCCTGAAATTACTTTTTCACATAACCTTAAAGTTTGACTATCAGTGTGCATTAATTATTATTGTGAACAGTGTTGCCACTTTTGGGGATTTTTCGAAGCCATGGGGATTTTTTTGGTGGATTGTGTCTGGTGGAGGATTTTTGGAGGATTATTGGGATGTTATCGAATTTATTGGAGAATTGTGATTTTGAGTCAGGAATAAGGTTAATATAGCTAAAAAGGATTTCAGACAAATAAAACCGTGGAATAACAGAATAGATTATGCAAACAGTTTGTTATCAATTGTTCAGACATTTAGTGGGAATATAAAACATGACTCATTTTGTAAGACTATTATAAATGTATGATATAAAACTAAGAATGAGGAGTAGATGAAAGTCAGTGATTAATAGAACAACCTTTAAGTGAGGGGAAATCATTTAAGAAGTAAATCTGAAAATCAGTCCCAATCCTTTGTACCTACTTTTATATAGTACTGTAGTACTTACTACATTTCATATGGAGTGAACCCCAACAGCACAATGGGCTTGCTGGGAACTTGTTCCAAGTCCATTGGCCCAAGTTCCCAAGCCTGGTTTAGACTCAGGCACCAAAGTCTGTAGGCTTGGTTTTGACTTGTTTTAGAGACCGAAGTTGGCAGTTGTTCAACTTGTTATGGGTTTGGCTCCCCAAGTCCAACCCAAGTCCCAACCCCAAACCTACAGTGAACTCATGGTCACAAACCTACTCTAAGCTTGGAATGATGGATACAAAACAGGTCTGGTAGATTAAGCAGGCTCATTATGGACTTGTTCGGGACTTGGGGACCCAAGCCCAATTTTAGTAGGCTCATATTGGAGTTGGCTTAGACTCATATTGGAATTGGTTTTAGCACATTTTAGACTTGGGCAAACAAGCTCACACTGATAAATTAAACAGGCTCATTATGGACTTGGAGACCCAAGCCCAATTTTAGTAGGCTCATATTGGACTTGGCCTAGACTCATATTGGAATTGGTTTTAGCACATTTTAGACTTGGGCAAACAAGCTCACACATATAGACTCACTCAGACTTGGTACAAGTTTTATGACTTACTGTCATGATCAGAGATAATAATAATAATTTTATAATAGGCTATAGTAATAGTAATATAATTTATACCTATTTAACATATAAGCTGTTTCACACCATTCATTTGCTAGCCCACCTTTTTTCTTAAACATAAATATAATTAATTTTTTACCAAGAAACATTTATGATTAATAAATGAAGCCTATTTTATGAGTCTTAAGTGATCTTGGAAAAAATATTGGTTAGGTATATATGATCTGTTAGGTTTAGAAAACAAGACATTCACATTTCAAGACAATTTATTAATATAATAAATACAATGCCCACTATCTTCCACTTCACCTTCAACTTCTTTTCTGAATCCATCAACTCCACCGCCTGCTTCAGAAGATCTATAAAAAAATACAATTGCATTAGACGAATTATTTGGTTTATTAAAATTTATTATTTAAATAATTTTTCATAATTTTTATTTGTTATTAGAATTATTTGATTATTTGGCATTTTTGTTGGTGTTGCAAACACAGGGTATGTTAACTTACTCTTGTTTTTAAAATTGTTATCAAACTTTTATTTCTTACTGTTTTACTTTTATAATGATTACAGCATGTGATAAAGGAACTTAAACACTTATCAACTAGTACAGGAAAAATACTAAATAAAAATGAAAAAAATAGTTCAGGGATGAAACTTTGGTTTTAACTTCGTTTTACCAATAGAAGTCAAGATCCGATGAGTCCCTAACAGTCCCGATGGGGGAACATGGTTTTTAGGGGGTGGGGAGGGGGAATTTTGATATAATTCATTATTCACGATTTGAAGTCATTTAGGAAGTCGTTTTTAAGGTTTGTATACACGGCGAATCGATAGGAAACCATATTTAGGTCGATAGAACCACCTCCATAAGAGATTTAGCACATTGGTACATGTTTAGTTGTTATTTTTTTAGGGGGGGAGGGGAATTTTAAATAATTTACGATTTTTGACTTATGACTTGTTGGGTGTCGTTTCCAATGGTTTTCTACATGCCAAATAGAATGGAACCACTATTTTGTTGATATAACTACATTATTAACAGATTTGGAGTGCTATCTGAAATAAAATAAATGTTTGTGCACAAAATTAATTATTTAATATTTAAACATGAAAAATAAAACAATTAACTTAACATCAAGTATTATTTGAATGAGTTTATTTTTACAATAAAATTAATTTTTCCTATTATAATAAAATACCCCCTCGCAGCAAACCTGCAGACCAAGCAAATTTTCATTTACCTGACAGGATTACTATTTATTTTATATTTAAATAACATTAATTTTAATAAGTCATTAGGTTTGCTGCTACAGGGGAGGTAATAGGGGTTGTTTTTACTGAAATGTTGATAGCTTAGTATAAAATAAACAAAATTGCCAAGTTTGGTTTAAATTTAAATATATCCACAAACAAGTGAACTACAACAGTTTATTTATTTTTCATTAGAATAACATGGGAATTTTAAATTTACATTTTTTTTTATTATCTCCTTAACCTTAAAGGAAAAGAATCCTTAAAGATAAGAAGTCGGTGAAAAATTACTTTAATTTTTACGGAAAGTAAATAAATGAAACGTAAATAAAAAGTAACTTATTTAATAAAAAAAATTAAAGTAATTTTTTTCAATGTAATGATGGAATGAAAATTTTTACAGTGTATGGTTTGTATATTTTTAAAACTATTCAGCATGTTTATAAAGATAAAAACACTGAAGTATCCAACAAATACAACACAAGGCAGAAAAATCTTACTGTAAAAAGTCATCATCGGCTGAAACTTTCAAAAATGAAACCTTCGTATATCGACAATTTATTCATAAGAAGTTTGCCTGCCTTACTAAAAAAAGACCAAAACAAACCCAATTTTTTAAAGAAATTAAAATCATTCTTAATTAATCTGGCTCCTTATAGTATAGATGAGTTTCTAAATCAAAAATGAATTAGCTATACATTCTAAAATAATTGTAAAATTGTATGGTTAAAAGTCTTTTAGATTAAGTTGTATAACCAATTTTGTATGCGTTGACACTATTCATGTAGGTATGTAAAATGTATAAAGTGAATAAAGATAATTTGATTTGATTTGATTTGAACCGTTAGGCGTACAACCAGGCATATACTAAATTATTTAATCTTTTAAGCTCTAGAAAGTGGTTTGGAAAGAAATTGTGAAATTCTTTGTTGATGAGGTCAAAATGGGAAAACCCAATTTTCTCTCCATAAAAATCCCCATAAACCCCTGTTCCCATAGTCCAATCATGCTGGTTCGCAAACTCGTTCGAATAAATTTAGGTTTACACGTTTGTACTAAATGACATCAAAATCGGATAATTTGTGCTTGAGTTATCACGCTAAACGGACACATATGTATATGAATTTGAAAGGATGGTGTTTTTGACTTCGGGGACCTCGAAACAAAAATGTAAATTGGTCCCGGGTCTAAGTCTTACCATGAAACCTACGGTAATAGCTTTTTCCCTATATGGGAAATTCGCTAAAAACCTCGTTTTTTTGACTTGCTGAAAGATATAAAAACAGTATACATATGTACAAAACATATAAAACATATAAACAAACTTTGTAGGGGCTACGCAAAAGTTAATAGATATTTACTTGAACTTTAAATCATAAAACATGGTTTAAACCCTGACTTAATGTCAATGTAGTATGGGTTTATGGAGACTTTTGTGGGGACAAAATTGGTTTTTCCCATTTTTGACCCCATCAACAAAGAATTTCACAATTTCTTTCCAAACCACTTTCTAGAGCTTAAAAGATTTAATAATTTAGTATATGCCTTGTTGTACGCCTAACGGTTAAGGAGATAATAAAAAAAAAATGTAAATTTAAAATTCTCATGTTATTCTAATGGAAAATAAATAAACTGTTGTAGATAAATAAACTTGTTTGTGGATATATTTAAACCAAACTTGGCAATTTTGTTTATTTCATACTAAGCTATCAACATTTTAATAAAAACAATCCCCATTACATCCCTGTAGCAGCAAACCTAATTATTAATTAAAAATAATGTTATTTAAATAGTAAATAAATCTGACAGTTTCAAGGACAAATTTTAGTAGAAATCCTGCCAGATAAATGGAAATTTGCTTGGTCTGCAGGTTTACTGCGACAGGGGTATTTTTTATAATGGGGAAAATTGAATTTATTGTAAAAATAAACTCATTCAAATAATACTTGATGTTTAGATAATAGTTTTAATTTTTATGTTTAAATATTAAATAATTTATTTTGTGCACAAACATTTATTTTATTTCAGTCAGATAGCACTCCAAATCTGTTAATAATGTAGTTATATCAACAAAATAGTGGTTCCATTCTATTTGGCATGTAGAAATCCATTGGAAACGACACCCAACAAGTCATAAGTCAAAAATCGTAAAGTATTTAAAATTCCCCCTACCCTTCCTAGAAAAATAACAACTAAACATGTACCAATATGCTAAATCTCTTATGGATGTGGTTCTATCGACCTAAATATGGTTCCTATCAATTCGCCGTGTATACAAACCTTAAAAACGACTTCCTAAATGACTTCAAATCGTGAATAATGAATTATATCAAAATTCCCCCTCCCCACCCCCTAAAAACCATGTTCCCCCATCGGGACTGTTAGGGACTCATCGGATCTTGACTTCTATTGGTAAAACGAAGTTAAAACCAAAGTTTCATCCCTGAACTAATTTTTTTGTTTTTTTGGTGAATTTTAATCTATTTTTGGTTCAAGGAGGCCGTGGCTGGAAACAAGATCTCTCCTGTGAACTCTCCAGTTCTTTTAATCAGTTTTATTACGATTTTACGTTTTGTGCGACGAAATACTAGTGAATAAGTGAGATCTAAACATCTAAAACACAGTGAATAAATAAGTTTTGATTTATACGACAAATATCGAGTGTTAAAGTGACAAAACAAGTGACACCCCTTACAGGCCATAGGACACCCACCTCCATTTTTCAAACTCATTCTAAAATAACTACCATATTTAGAAATTGTTACCTACAGTCTATAAACATCTCAACACCAATCAAAAATCTATTTGAAAGCAAAAATTGATTAAGAAACAGTTATAAAACCAAATAACGTAAGAAATACAGAAACCTGACGCCATTTTGAATAGATGAAACTTAAAAGCAAGAAGTAAGAAGAAAAAACAGCTCTACCTCCAACCTAGCAGACAAAATCTGTCAGATTGAGAAGGCAACACAACAACAAGACACTGCACCAACCAACCATTAGTACTGTGAGCATTTCTATGTGTAGGAAAAGCAGGTATGTGGCACAAAATATTAAACTTAAACAATAAGTAGCCTAAATAAAAAATAGTAACAAAACTGCAACTTTTTTTAGGAGAAAGAAAACAACTCTAGGTTAATAAAAAAAAAAAAAATTGTAAAATTAAATAAATAAATAAATAAAAAAAAAACTGAAAAACAAGTAGGAATCCAACAAGCCAAACCAAACCCCAAACCCAGCCAAAACACCCAGGCCTTAACCTTGAACCCGCCCTTCCAACTAACCAAATTCCTACAAAAAAAAAAAAAAAAAAAAAAAAAATGTCTCCTACCTACCCCTGCAAAGTTTGCCAAAAAAACGTGGAGGAAAAACATGAAGCAGTCGAATGTGACTGTCAAAGCGGCTGGTACCACATTCAATGTGTCGGCATTACTAAAAAACAATATAGAGATCTTATAAATGATGACTTTGTATTCTCTTGGATATGTAAGACATGTTATAATCTTAAGCCAAAACTAGAAATAAGCCATGACAATGTGAATACTTCACAGACTAGCAAAACAGAGGACTCCAATGCACAGCCCGGAGAAAGCGAGAAGAAGGAAGAACAGAAAGCGACACAACTAAATAAAGTTATTGAAATACTGATGGAAGACATTAACACCCTGAAACACCAAATAAGCAAAGAAAAAGAAGAAAATGCTAGGCTCTCGGATGTGATAATTAAAAAAATGGAAGTGATCTTTAAGCTAGAGGAAACCATCCGGGACATATGCCTTGAAGGTGATTCCAAAAATTCCAACTCTACCCCAAAAATGGAAGAAGCACTGGAAACTAATAAAAATAATAGGCCTACAGGCCTACTGAACTTCTCAAACGTCACTAAAGGCCCAGACCCAGTACAAAAAAAAGCTTCAAACAAAAACCCTCAAAACAAAAAGACACATCCAGATAAGCCTATGACCAAGAATATACACAAGCCTGAACAAAAACAAATTGGCCAAAGAAACAGAAATAGGCCTACAGAAAATGACGATACACAGGAGACTGGACCCGACCAAAGGGAAAAATCTATAGAACGACCCCTAACCACAAACTCACCTAAAAGCAACAAAAAAACACTTGAAGTACTTCTATTGGGAGACTCCACACTACGTGCAGCCGCTAGCATGCTAAAAGCGTCACTGGGACGCACCATAGACAACAGAGTGAAACCAGGCGCAGTAATAAAAGACATTAGCCAACACATCAGCAGAGCACAATATCTTCCTGAAAAAGTGCTGATAAATATAGGCTCAAACAATGTTGGAACAGCTAAGACACCAAACCATGTGATGCGACCATTATGGTATGCTATAGAAGCAGGGAAAAAAAAATTCTGTGAAGTAAAATGGTATGTAAACGGAATACTTCCCCGAGCAGATATAAGAGACAAGTACATCCATAACACAAACGAAGCGCTAAAATTCATGTGTCAGCAGTTAGGAGCAACATACATAGACACCTCACCAGCATCCGAAGAAAACTGCTACCAACCAGACGGAATACATCCAAACAGACTAGGAGCATCAACACTGGCGGAAATTATTGTGGAAGCCTTGGACTTAAAAACTGAAAACCCAACTCAGGACTCCCTACTGGAAACCTCTACTTCTACAATAGTAAATCTCACCAATGAAGAACACACCCAAGACACACAAAGCCCGACACCTCAAGACCCAAACCCAGACTCAGAAAACACGGACAATAATCCAAAATCCCCATAGGAAAACGGAACACCCCCCACCCCACTTAGCCTAACTTGCACATACCAATACAAAAACAAGAAAACAAAAAATAAACCTAACCTAAAGATATTCCAATTAAACATACAGCGAGGACTACACAAGAAGATAGAGAAACTTCTCATAGAAATAAGTACAGTAAGTCCCGAAATACTGATCATCACCGAACATGGAATGTCAAATGATATGCTTCAACAAACTCAAATTGAAGGATACATGCTAATATGCAGTTTTTCAAGAACTAAACATAAATGGGGTGGGATTGCCATCTACGCAAAGGAAAACCTCTCAAAAAACTTAAAACAGATAAACACAACCGATATAAACGAGGAGCTCATATCTGAAATAGCAGCCTTTGAGATAAAAAAGCATAATTTAATAATAATAGGAGCATACAGATCCCCTAACCAAGACCTAGACAAATTTCTAGCCAACTTAGACAAACTACTGTGCATTTTTACTGGAAACAAAAAAGATATAATCTTGATGGGCGACACTAATGTGAACATCAGACAGAAACTGGACCACAATTTCCAAGTGTTTGAACGATTCTTTTTGGAACACAACCTCAAAATAATAGATATACCATACACCAGATTAACCAGAAACTCAACCAGCAGCATAGACACATGTATCACAAACCTGGACCCCAAAACCATGAAAATACAAACACACAAGAATGTGATTTCAGACCATCACGGAATTAGCTGTACACTGCTGAATCGCGCCCTAAACGAAACAGCACCGCTGAAGAAAATAATACAACCTACGACGGACAACAACCTCATCAAACTAAAGAGAAATCTAAGTGACCAAAATTGGGAAAATGTTTACCAAGCGGAAACCGTTGATGAAAAATACAAAAACTTCCTGGAAATTATAATAAAAGAAATGGACTCGACAATGCCTAGAACATATAAGACCTATAACATTAAACCTAAGAACCCATTTTGGGACAACAAAACCATACAGTTGAAAAATGCAGCTGCAGCCGCACACAGCAAATTCCTACTCACAGACTCACTAGAAGATAAACAAACATTTACAAGACTAAAGGCTATCTACGACAAACATGTAAGAGACCAAAAGGCACTACATACAATAGAACATATAAAACAATCCAAAAATAAAAATAAAGAGATTTGGAGGGTAATAAATAAAGAAAGGAAAGCGCCTAAAATTTCAAACCAGAATATTACGTTGAAAATAGCCGACATTATCGAGACAGACCCAAACAATCTAAGCCAACATTTCAACAACTATTTCATAAAAATAGGAGCACCTACAAATCCACCAGGCCTAAGTAAAAATGAAGATACAAATTGCAAGCCTAACCGACCGGACCCACAAACAGGCTTACACCAAACAAAAGCTAAACTGGAGCACTTCACTAAAATAACAAAAAGTGAGTTGATTTGGATTTTTAACAGTTTCCCAGCCAAGAACTCATCAGGAATAGACAACATTTCAAATAAAATAATCAAATTCTGTCAAAATGAACTTCTAGAACCCCTTTTACACATCATAAACGCCTCAATTGAGCAATCCACTGTCCCAGAACTAATGAAGATATCCATAGTGTATCCTAAATTCAAAAAAGGAGAAACACAGCTCATAGAAAACTACAGACCAATATCGCTACTACCAACCTTCTCAAAATATCTGGAAAAAACAATAAATATGCAACTGATACATTTTCTCGAAAGCACAAAATTAATATCTCCAAACCAACACGGATTCAGACAGGGAAAGTCGATAAATACAGCCCTAGCCCAACTATGCGAAACAATCACTAACTTATGGGAAGACAAGAAGCAAGCCACAGCAACTTTCCTGGACCTACAAAAGGCTTTTGACAGCCTAGATCGGAAGCTTCTCATCGCAAAACTAGAAGACATGAACATCACTGGAAATGCCATAAAATGGATACAAAACTACCTTGATAACAGAAGCCAAACCGTTGAAATAGAACACTACAAAAATAACTACCAAATTAAAACTAGATCAGAACTACAAAAGACCATATACGGCGTGCCACAAGGCTCCATACTTGGGCCTCTACTTTTTCTTGCCTATATAAACAGTTTTCCAGACAACTTACCCCCAGATTATACATGCATAATGTTCGCTGATGACACCACAATCATAACTCCGACAACTAAATCAGAAGAAACGCCCCAAAAAATTGAAGAAACCCTAAAACTATCAACAGAAATCTGTGACAACTTGAACCTAACTATAAATAAGAAGAAAACTATACACATAAAATTCACAACTACAAACAGACAGCAAGAAGAAGAAAACCTCACGCAGCAAAACATAACCGACAATGCAAAATTCCTAGGAATTACAATTGATAAGAACCTAAACTGGCACAAGCATATAGACAACTTGCATAAAAAACTGTCATCAGCCCTTTTTGCACTGAGAAGAATACGAAAAATTACAAACAAATCGATAACAATAACAGCATATCACGCACTTTTTGCAGCTCACATAAATTTTGGAATAATAGCCTGGGGATCCACAGATCAGACATCATTAAAGAAAATTGTAATACTGCAACAAAAGGCTTTGGGAATTATAGAAGAAGCACACTACCAAGACCACTTTTTCCCAAAAAACCAAATCCTCACCATCACCTCCACCTATATCCTTGAAGCAATAAAGTTTATAAAAAACAAACCAAACACTCTTAGACACGAATGCCACAAATATAATCTGAGAAACAAAACAAACCTAAACCTAGAACAACATAGGCTCCAAAAAACTAGCTCAACCCCACATTTCATGGGAACTAGGCTTTTTAATCTTCTACCACACAATCTAAAATCAATAACTGACACTAAAAGTTTTATTAAATCACTAAAAAAATATCTTCAAAACAAACCATATTTCAACCTAAATGAATTTTACAATGACCATAACTTCCTAAATAGGCCCTAAAAAAAATGCTCACAGCAGGCCTACAGCATGAAGAAAGAAAATTCTGACGATTCCCCGATCTTGATGACCGTGGAGAAGATGAAGTGAACTATGAACTATGAACTATGAACTACTAAACAAGGCTACTGAATACAAACAACATAAACTAATGGTTTGGCCTGTTTTTTATCTGTAGACTGGGTTAAGGCATTGACTATAATGGTTAAGGTTAAACACAAATTTTGGCACTGTTCTGTAGAGTTCAGCAGTAGAAGTTGTCGTTTCAGTGAAGCGCTGAGTATGACAAAGGTTAAAGTGCAAAAGGTTTAGGCTATAAACAAAATTCTGGGGTTCTTGATGCAATGAAATTAATTGTTTGCTTAACTTAGCTTACTTATATCATCATAGACTAACCAACACAAGTATATTTTTTATCAATGGAGTGTAAATCTTACCTTTACAGCTAGGTAAGAATCCCTTAATTCTTCTTTGCTTCGTCTTGGTATCAAAACCACAAACAAAACTCACAACTAGTAACGAAACGAGCAACTCACAACACCAAAACAAGATAAGTGAGAACTGACAACTGAGAGTGAGGAAGTCTAAATCCAACAAAAATGGTGGTTCAGCACAAAGAAACCGGTTTTAGAAGCGTGTGGTGGGTAGGGGTGGAGGGAAAATTCTTTTGTCATATGGCACTGCTCACTTTCCCAGATAGCAAGGACCCTTGATTCAAGGTAAACTTTTCCCTACAATTTGCATTCACAATTCAAGGTTGCAAATATTAGGAACATTGTGGCTGGATTCAAGGACAACAAAATACTGCCCTTTTTGAGTTCATAGATTCCGCCCTGAAACAGAGTCAACAAAACAACAGCGCGAATTCCCATGATGCAGTTCGACCAAGCGACGCCAGCCAGACGCCAGGATCCACCCCTAAACAATCCTAACCTCTTTGTCTTTGTGTGTCTTGTCAGTTTGTCTTTTTGCGACGTTTGTTTCTCGCGTTATTACTATATCAGAGTTTTTAGACATAAAGTATTCATATTGAAGTTAGTTTTTGTCAATTTTCAATTTCTTTGTTCATAGTTAATTCCATAGTGTTCGATTTTAGAAGACTAACTGCAACAAAAGTGCTTGTGAGCCAACGAAACATAAAGGTGAGTCAGCTAATCTTTTCATTGTATTCATAATATTTTTTCCATTCTTATGATAAGATATGTGTGTTAGAATGCTAATCATACTGACATTAGAACCTCAAGTTACAAATGCTCTGAAAATTATCTTACAACAATAAACTGCCAAATTTGGACTAGGATCCAGAATAATTCTAGGCCTGTGCTTGCCCTAGGCCTCATGACTGGTGAATTGTTTTATAGTTGGCCTAGAAAGTATTGTGATCCGTTGGAATATTGTATCTGGAATTGTTCAAGACCTAGTTACTTATTTTTGCCAAATCCGGTGGGTTACAATATTATGAACACACAAGCCAATATGTAACTTAATGATGCAGTTTTTTATCAGCGTAGATTGTCTTAAGTTATCATAGGCCGAAGTTATGAAGTTTCATTTAAGAATGAAGAAATGATTTTCGATGGATTGGATAAATAGACCCAGGCCTATAGAAAAATATTTTAATTTAGCTTAGGCCTATGTCTTAAGTTATAGACTTGGTACTGTAGCCTAGGTCTAAGGGCTTATCCTAGTCCTATGTCCTGATGCTAGGGTTTTTCGGCAAACGTTTAGATGGGTTAAGATTAGCATCTCTCAAAGATTTTAAGTTTTGTACGCCATACCCATTGATTAAACTAAGTAGGCCTAAAGGTAGGCTACCGTAATGAACTAATTTAAAACAACCTTCTACAAAATGTCACTTGACTGGAGACCTGCCATTTTGGTTTTATGTAGCTGTTAACTTTAAATCATATCCTGGTAACTTGTGCCTATTTAAGTTACTAAAGATGTATATTGCCCATGCTGTAAGTTGTAAAGTTATTGTAACAAGGTTACCTAGGCTGCTGTGTTATTTTTCAAATTAACTAATTAGCTTCAGCGAACACAGATTTAAAACAAGTGGCTTGCCGTTTGAACAAACGTTACAAGATGAGTTGCCATCTTGCTTTGCATCGAAATTTGCAGAATTTAGAACTGTAATTTAGACATTATTATGAATAACTTGGTCTGTGTGCTGCAATTTAACTTACGGTACCGGTATTAACAATTTTGGAAAAATTCTGAAATTTTCTGCTTTAAATAAACCTTACCATTTGTAGGCCTATAGTTTTTAAATTTTATTGATGATTTGTAATTTAAAACAAAAAATATTAATAGCCTAAATCATAACTTAATATTATTAAAACCTTAGAGTAAGAAAGTTAGTAGGTTAAACTTACTAAAACTTTCGTTTGTTGGTCAAACAAAAATTCACTTGGAAGAAAGTTGTTAAAAAAAAAATTAATGCCAGACTTATGGTTTACTTCTTTTTCCATCTTGCTTAATTTAGCCAGAATTTCAGGTTGAACAGAGAGGCAAGACCATTGAACGAGTCTAAACTAAATTTTTTGTACTTGATTCATTTGGTAAATCCCACTGTACACCCCTGAAAACACACACTGACCAATTATGTCTATTCTGTACTTTACTACAGAAGTGAGATTGTCAAAGCTAGTTTGTTAAATACAAATACATGGCATATTCTCTCTAAAAGCTGATTGTTTTGTATTTTTCTTCCAATACTAGCTGTAACCCGCGGGCTTTGCCCCGTTTAACTTCTTAATTTTCAAGATGATCTCGTTCGCATGGCTCAATCACGTCCTGGTTGAAGTTTGTTCGCTACGCTCACTCACCTTTAGATTGGAGCTCGTTCGCTACGCTCACTCACCTTTATGTTAGAGCTCGTTCGCTGCGCTCACTTGCCTTCAGGTTAGCTCGTTCGCTACGCTAACTCGCCTCCAGGTTGAAGTTCGTTCGCTACGCTCACTCACCTTTTGGTTGCAAATTAGCTGTTGTCATAAATGTTAAAGAAATAATAGTGCTGCACCCTGTTGGTAATCCTTGTAACTTTAATGCTATTAAACATCATAGAACAGAACCAACTTGTTTAATTGAAACAGCTGTTAAGATTCATTAATTCCATTTCTCATAAGGTTAACATGGGAAACTCCAGAGCCACTGGGGCGGAGCCCAGAGGTCGGAGGGTAAAATCCTTTCTTAGTGATCGTCTACTACCCAAAAGGATGATGCCTGCCAAGATTCAGGTTCCTAGGTCTTATGGTTTTCTGAGATTTCGTGATGAGTGAGTGAATGAATGAGTCAGTGGTATTTGAGCTTTATATAGATTTGCATAACAAATTCTTTTGTTATTGTTATCTATTATGAGGCGTTTCACTTAAACTGTTTCAGTTGTAGCCAAGAGACTGTTGGCTGAAGCCACTGAATTGAAAGTAAAAAAAAACTGCATCCATGCATGGCTGTGACAAGCCAAATTTAGGGCCAGTACCTAAAAGGTTTGTAGAGCATATTAGTTATAGAACTGTTTATTTCATAAGGTTTACTTTTGTTGTTACAGTAGAACCTCGATAGTTCGACACAGGCCGTGATGACAAGACATGGCATCAGTGGCCGATGACGGGTTCACCAAGGTTAAAAACTAGAGCATTCTTAGTGTTTTCGTGCATGGAAAAACTCAATAGGTAGCCTACTTAAAATATCCCATTAACTTACATTTTTTCTAAGATCCAAAGTGTAAAAAGCATGTGACGTAAATTATGAGGGGCGAATAAGATTGTATTTACTGAGCAGCCTACCCCTAGTACCAGCCACGCTCAAATTTCTTCCCCGGGGTGCTGAGAAGGATTCACGGTTTTGACTGATTAATTATTTTAATTTAATCTAAGGTTCAGAGCTCTAGAAGCGCTCAAAAGATCCTGCAGACGCCCAGGAGGAGAGCAATATCATCCTCGCCTTTGTTAAAATGTTATTGCAAATTTTGCCTAACTTTTAGAATAACTGTAGGACAGACGAGTACTCTACCCTGGCCAATTCGATAAAACTACCTACTCGTTTAAACTGTTGCAACAACAGGTTTTAGAATTCTAATAACAAGTCTCGGGTTTGTTAATTTGGTTTATTAGTATAAGGAACATACAAGGGTGGTTTTTCAAGTAAGAGCCAGTTTCTGCGTATAAATCCATAATTCGCTTAAGTACGCTGCAGCAAGGCTCCTCGCCACTTGCTGGTATCATTTGTGAACAGAATGACACAATTTGCAGCTCTGTAGCTGACATGTACCTACATTTCGCTGTGTGTTTCAACAATTTTTTAGACTTTTTGTCCCCGTACGCTAGGCTGGAGCCCGGGATTGTTTTTCACATTACTTCAGGCTAGACCTAGGGGTTACGGCATTATCACTTAGTTAAAATCCATTGGTGATTTGGCGGGATTTGAACCCTGGACCCCAGGAACCGGAATGACCGCGCTCTAACCACTAGACCTGCTCGCTCCCCAATTTTTTAGACTATTGATAATGTCAATGATAATCAGGGCCGGAGAGAGCCATCATGGGCCCCTGGGCTCAGCGATCCCGGGCCCCCTATTTACTTGATTTAGTGTCCAGCCGTCTCCGTGCCGTTTTGTCACACAAATAACTATATTAATAAATGTTTGCTCACAGTTTCAGCTTTAATCACAGTCAAAACAATTCAAGTAAAAAATTACTTAGTGAACTGGAAAACCATGCTGAAATTTTTAACTCAAGCAGATTACATGTACAGAAAAAATTAGATAAAACATACTCCCTTAGTCGATACTTTATGATTTTTTTTTGTTGCAGGAAAAGAGGAGTTATTGGTGCACAGAATAGGAACATCAGGCTGAGGCTATGCGACAGTAAATAATGTATAAGTAAAATGTCACTTAATTTAACTCATGTTCTAATTTTCAAGTTTGTTTTATACTTTATATTTTCATAAAATAAATTTACTATAACCAATGTCACTTGCTACATTTTATTTATACCCCCACAAATAGTGATATTTTGGCTATGTTTGAAGAACTGTTTTGAACTTTTAAACTTTTTGTTGATCACTGAGATGTCTTTTCTAAAGCAGGGTCTGGTGTAATTTGATGAGGCCTTATTAAAAATTAAATGCTCTCACCCTTCACTCACAAGCTTGGCAGAATAGGCTTATTATTTTTAACCTAACTCAGTTATCCTATACAACATTTAAATAAAGTGTTATAGCATCATTTATAGGTTTCTAGCTGCCCCTCCCCTTGGGCTTCACAACAGAATTGAAAAATTTTCTTTGCTACAAACAGTTGTTTTGCATTGGTTTTGCTTAGAATTTTCCTAACAGCGGTTTGGTAGCTAATACAATTAAACGAAAGTTCTGTCAAAAGAAAAATATGTTAACATTGTAATTTTAAAGCCTGTGAGCCAGAGCCCTGATGGAATCTCTCAAAGCTACTTCTTGTACATATTAAGTGAAACCTATTATGGAGGTTAAGTGAAACCTCCATGCCACCAAGTTCTGAGTACATATGCATGGTAGTTTTTGAGGAATAGTGATCAATGAGTGAGTGAGTGGTAACTGTATTATAATATAGATTATAAGGTCAAATTATGTATCCACCAAAAGTTTTCTGCGTAGATTAAAGCTTAAGGTAATGTACCTTGCGTTTAATATTTTAAGGCTTAACTTACTGCCATAAAGCAACCAATATTTTGATGTCCTAATAGATAGCTGTCCCCGCGCTTAGTAGGCATCATTAAAGTTCTTGAGTTCACAAAGACAAAACAGCTAGGCTATCCACTAGGACATTAAAATATTGGACTACTTTAAGACCGTAAGAATGCCGTAAGTCAAGTAAAATTCCTTGTCAGTCAATCACTTGTTAATGTATGTACTGAGTTGATCATGATTATGCTTTTATTTAACCCGAATTCAACAATATATTTTGATTTCAGCCAAAAATCTTTACCTTGAATTAACCTTAAATTTTCAGGTTATGAGTCCTGAATTGACCATGATTTTACCTTAATTTAAACATACTTATACCTTAATTCAACCTCAATTCAGCCTTGATTATGCATTACTGCCAGAAACGTTTACCTTGAATCAACCTAAAATTTTCAGGGTTGATTCAGGTTTCACAAGTGTTCAGTAGGACCCTTGAATTAGCCCTGAATTAGGCTTGATGGCTTGATATTTTAAGATTAATTCAGGCTTGCATCTTTGAAAGTTTAACCTTGATTTAATACTGAATCAGGAAAAAATTGCTATCTGGGTTAGACTCACATGAACAAGCTTGTCGTGGGTCTGGTTAGGTGTTTAAATTGTAGACTTGGCCAACCAGGTTATATATGTAAATAAAACAAGTTTAGTTTTGGCTCATTCACACAAGTTCACTTAACCAAAGCCGTTTTCAATTTGTAGTGGGTTCCAAACTCCAAGTTTGTCATACCAATTCAGAAATATGTAAAAACCAAGTTTAGTCCAAGCTCACGTGCTGTCTGGGAATAAATGTATGTACGTTAAAATAATAATTATAATCATTGGTACCATGTTACCGCCGGTAGTTAAAAGGGGATTTTTGTAGAGTTTGACGGTTTGGATGGAGGAGGAGTTGGGGATTTTCTATAGATTTTTATGGCTTGGCGGATAGTTGGAGGATTTTTGCTTTAGCTGGGGGTCCTGGGGATAAAGTGGGGATTTTTCCTCGTCAGCACATTTAATATGGAGTGAATAAATAATGTATGTATGTCATAGTGTAATATATTCACGGAGAGTGAATTTTTACCCACACACTATGGCATATAGATATAAGGTATAAATTTGGGATATTTAGTAGTTAAATGGGATTTTTGTAGGATTATTAGGATGGATGGAGGAAAATTGGGGACTTTCTATAGATTTTTATGACTTGGCGGATTATTGGAGGATTTTTGCTTTAGCTGGGGATAAAATGGGGATTTTTTCTTAGTCAGATGGGGAATTTTCACAGGTCCAGGGTGGCAACATTGATTGTGAATAGTAGTAGTGTGGTGAAAATTGAAAAACAGCGTTCCTACAATGGACCAAAAATGGTTTTCGGCCCTAGGTACAATTTATATATCATACGGTACTGTAATGAGTTTTACTTGAATTGAGTTTACCTACAGAGTACAGTAGACCCTCTCTTAACCGACCTCGCATTAACCAATAATCAGATTATCGGCCCTGCTCACTCATAAAAAATTAAAGTTTGTTTTAACCGACCCTGTTTTGAGGGAAGTTCGGTTTAACCTCCGCTTTTTGGGAATCTCGACATTTCTGCTCTTACGCTCGGCTCAGGTTATAAATAAACATCCTGTCTCGTAACCAAATAGTTGCTTGTATCTTTAATTCCGACAATAAGTTCTGTACTGTATTACGATGGATTTGGAAAGTACCAACTAAAGATATTAAAATAAAAATGTTATTGTCTCATGCCTACGACTATACAGTAATTTATTCCACTGAAAGTATTTGACTTTAATATGTTGTTTGAACCCAGTTCAACCTACAAACTACAAGACCTTCAAGCAAAATAGGTAAATAAATTATTGTATTTGGCTTTACTGTGTTTGGGTTTATTTATGATTTTTATATTGTCAATACTTAAGAAAAAAAGGAGATTAGTGTAGTTTATGTGGTAAATAATGCATGCACGGCTTCAGAACAGTGATTATATAATTCCAAATTAATAGCACTTCATTTTTAAAAGTTCTTAGTGATTGCCCGTTTTAACCGACCTTGGTCCGGTCCCATTATGGTCGGCTTAAAGGGGGTCTATTGTACTATTATAATGGGTAGTAATAGTGGGTATAGTGGTTGGTATATGTGGGAATAACTAAGGGGTTTTTAGTGTGAAAATCATAAAAATTGCAATACATTTTTATTTACAGCATGTGGACTTCAAACCACTTGGTTCAAAGTTAAAAGTACTATACCAAATTTTAATCAAAATCATACAAGCTGTTTTTTTACCACTATCTGTTATTTTATAGGTAAATCATTATTAAAAATAACTAGGTGGCGTTCGCAGAGGCATCCACAAAATTGAGCGGAGTCATCAAGGGTTCATATTATATTGTTTTTGTCATACTGCAGTGAAAACAGTCGTTTTTAATACATGCGTTGCTGGTCTAAAGTAGCATTTTTACTCTTTAGGGAGTAAAAATCGTTTTTAGCCTCTATGGAATAAAAATGGGCTGTTGTCAACTCAGTTGTAAATTTATATTGTAAACGATTGCATGTATCGATTCATGCTTCGTAATCATTTTAACCTACAGTCTACAGTCTCTTCCCATAGCATTTTAGCTTTGCAGATACATTAATCCATTCCCACACTCAAAACTGCTCACCTTTACTAATTGCTTCACCACCCCCTACGTCGTGGACATGATTCCCTCTCTTCTCATAGCATTTTTGGATTGCAGATACATTAATGTAATTGCCAAAGACAGTTCCCACACTCTGCACTGCAAGCCTTACTACTTCCTTCACCACTTCCTACATCGTAGGGCCTGTTTCCTTCCCTTCTCATGGCATTTAAGTATTAAATACATTTATCTTACTGCCCAAACGGTTCCCCCACTCTGCATTGCCAGCCTTTACTACTTCCTTCACCACTTCCTACGTCGTGGGCCTGTTTCCTTTCCTTCTCAAAGCATTTTAGGATTAAAGATACATTAATCTAACTGTCACAGACGGTTCTCACACTATGCTCATACAGGGTTGCCACCATAGTGGGATGATAAAATTCATGCAGAATTCATGGTTTTCATTGGTAGTTTACAAAAAATTCATGGTCGATGCGCTTATACAATTTCAACACAATTGAGTTTTGCTGATTTCAAAAACTGACGTTAAAGGGGCAGTTTCTTTGTGTGTTACTTTTGAATAACCTTTCATACTTAATATACAACTTTTTTAGAGTGATTTATAAACATTCAAAACAAAGTTGAAAACAAAACTGGTCCAGCTATATTCTACGAGATATTGGAAAAGAATTGTAAAATATATTAAGTCTAGGCCTACGTCTAATTCAGTCTTTCCATCGGAATAAAACAAAAATCCCACTCACCCAGCCAAAAAAGTCCTGTTTCATCCAGTTTTATTCCCCTACATTATTGTCATAAAATGTGCATTCTGGTTTATCTAACTCTACAACGTACTAAGATGTGATGGTTTTATCCAAAAAGCCAAAAAAATCAGGCGTCAGTCGGAAATTCGGTTTTATTGCGCACCCCGTTTCAATTCTGTGCATGGTCAAAAACTGTTTTTGTGATTTAAGTCCCCATACCCCTTTTTCATACGCGGGGTTAGGCCTACTAATGATTTTTCGAGCCATATACAGTTCTTGGGAAGTCTCAGCTGACATCAGCATCTTTGAATGACTTGGAATGAAAAAAGCAATTGTTTCTGATCGTGGAACATGTTAGATAATCATCTCCCCACAGTGTTCGTTTCTATGAACTGTTTTTAAATATGAAATATTTTTTATTTGCAAAACTTAATAGTACTGGATGAATAATTGTTCCTGATTTTGAAAATTCATGGTCCATTTGAGAAATCCATGCATAATCCATGCCTTTTTTCATGGTCACAAGAATTCATGCATAATTCAAGCTTTTCAAGGTTTTCATGGCTGGTGGCAACCCTGCGACTTTACTATTTCCTAAGCCACTTCCTACATCGTGGACTTGTTTTCATCACTTTCCATAGCATTTTAGTATTTTAAATACGTTAATTTAATTTCCACAAACATTCCCCTAACTCCACACTGCTAGCCTTTACTAATTCTTTTACAATTTTCTATGTCGAGGTGTTTAGTTCCCACACTCCTGACTGCTCGCCTTG